GCATTGCCAGCATACTCTCTCAGTTGGCAGAATTCAACTGAGAGAGTATGCTGGCAATGCTGGAATTTGCTACACTGGCAAAGAGAAAGGGGCGGAGAAAGGGGCGGGGAGAGAGGCGCAGGCTCATGACGTCAGGGACGTGCTAGCAAGGTTTTCTCCCGCAGGAACCTAGTTTGCGACGGGTCTTACTCTCGTGGCTTGTTCTTGGTCTTGCAGCTCTTCTGATGTCTCAGGTGGAGTATCGTCAGGAGAAATGCCTCTAGAACATGGCCCTATAGCCCGAAAAAACCTACAAGAACCTAGTTCCCATAAGGATGGTCGCAGATTCACAACACTATAGTAGTGTAGTGTGATAGGGTCCTAAGTCTATTCATTGCTTTTGCAGATACACATTCACTACTTACCGTAATAACCTTCACCACTCTAGAGTCAACTTACTCAGAAGCTTCAAATGGTCCAACGATTGGCAGCCAGGATGCTAACAGGAGCGGCACTCAGGGAGCACACCACTCCTCTGCTGCGCCAGCTCCATTGGCTGCCAATTTGCTACTGGGCACAATTCAAAGTGCTGGCTTTAGCCTTTAAAGCCCTAAACGGTTCTGGCCTGACCTACCTGTCCGAACGCGTCTCCTCCTATGAACCAGTTAGGACATTAAGATCATCTGGGGAGGCCCTGCTCTCGATCCCGCCGGCTTCACAAGCACGCCTGATGGGGACAAGAGACAGGGCCTTCTCAGTGGTGGCCCCTCGGCTGTGGAACACCCTTCCTGCAGATATTAGATCGACCCCCTCCTTGCTGGCATTCCGGAGGAAAGTAAAGACCTGGCTGTTTGAACAGGCATTTGACTAAGCAGTGTGATTGATTGACTGACTATCGGAACACCGAATATCGGATAACGAGTTTGGATTCTGATTTCATTGATGAGACCTGATGGATTTGTTATATTGATGTAGTGATGTATTGATACTGATGTTTAATGATTTGTGATGCTATTGCTTTTAAATGCTTAATGATTTTATATTGTGTATACCTAAATTGTTGTAAACCGCTCTGAGTCGCCTAAGGGCTGAGAAGAGCGGTATACAAATAAAGTAAATAAATAAATAAATAAATACTCCTGCTACCAGCCCATCAGGGCTAAGTAGTGGCTGAGGCCCCAACTACACTGACATATCAGGTCTTAATCTTATGCGTTTGGAAGGTTTGGAACTATGCATTGGCAGGCTGCAGGAAAGCAAGGTCTGGCCTAAAAAGTGCTTCTCCAAGGAGGGAGAAAATGATATGGTAATATTTTGAATGTATGTGGAGGAATGCATGTACATGTGTGTGAATGTTGAGTGAAAATTTAATTCTCCTTTGTTTGTTTGTTAACCAATGTAATTGTAAATCCAATGTAGTTGCATAGAATCTGTATGTCTGTATGTCCAATGTCAGTCTTTTTCAAAATGTTTTTCTGTAATCTGATATACCCTCTCACACTGGAAATTGCAATAAAAAGAACCTATGCTTCAAAGTTACTTAAAAGTCATTCATGACATATCTTCAAGAAGGGAAAAAAGGACGACCCAATAATTACCGTCCGGTGAGCCTCACGTTGATACCAGGCAAGATTATGGAAAAGATCATTAAGGAAGTGGTCTGCAAACGCTTAGAAATGAATGCAGTCATCACTAATAGTCAACACGGATTTATCAAAAACAAGCCATGCCAGACTAATCCAATCTCTTTTTTCGATAGAGTTGCAAGCTAGGTAGATGCAGGGAATGCTGTGGTTGTAGCATACCTGGATTTCAGTAAGGGTTTTGACACAGTCCAACAAAACAACAATGTATGTGCAAGACTCGCAAAACCGTGCCTCAGAGTAGGCTACTTCATGCTGTATTACTATGTTGAAAAGACTTCAAAATTCACAGTAGTAAAAGTTCAATTCTCATATTATAATTCAACTAAGGATATGCTATTCACGAAATAAGTAACAGGCATAAAGAAAAGCATATAGAAACAACCAGTCCTAATAAGTCCTGGAGCTGTGAAAGGTCTTGAGTCGAATACCAATGGTAGTCGAAAAAAATCTGGCTTCCAAAATAATGACTTCTATGTTAAAGTAGATTCTTCATTAACTCATAATGCCAGGAACAGCAACACAACAAGGTCTCCCAGATTGTTCCCCTTGTTTCATTATACCTTCTTTGGGTGTTATGCCAGTCTTATCTATAATGCTTGAGTACAATTCCTGATAGTAGCTTTGGTTCTGTAGTGAATGCTTGGGTACACTAGCTAAGAAATAAAGTAACAGACAGACAGTATATATATTAAAATCCCCAAATTGCCAATGTTTAAAAGAAGTTTTGATAACCACACTTGTCTACTTATATACCTGTTAGTAGCTTTGGCTCTGTTGTGAATTGAGTTCTGTAAAGAGCAAATGTGATAGTACCAGAACGGCTCTTAAGTAAGACTGCATCTTACAGGAAAGAAGTGTAATCGATTCTATTATTAAGCCCTTGAGGGAAAAAGTGTTTGTAGTTTGAAAATCCAAAATGACTTTCTCTGCAACAGGCATCTTTTGACATCTGCATTAGGTTTGGATTATACTTTCTCCAAAACACAAAATTTAAAGCTATGGTATGTGTGTGCTTTTTCTTGAAAATAATAATAATAATAATAATAATAATAATAATAATAATAATATTTATTTATTTATTTGATCAGTCATATGACCATTTCAAAATAGAACACGAGTAAAAAACAAGGCAACAAGATGAAGACAGCAGCCAACCTTCTATTTATAGTCAGAATCTTATTTTCCTGGTTCTTCTTTCAGGAAATCTGCTCTTTTCTTAATAGCTTTCAGAATAAAAAGGCTTACTCTGATTATGCTGGATCTTTCCTGCCCTAGCAAGAGGGATGTCAGAATATCATTTCTGTTGGGGGACCTGCAGTTGGATAATATTGGATGTAAATATCTTCAGTATATGCTGGACAGTCAATTAAGAAATGTTCAATGTCTTCCACTGTTTGTTTTCTTCTTGAAAATGTACATATAACGAAGAGTCAGTGGACCCATTCCTTATTCTAGAACGATGTTCACTTATTCTGATTTTCAGGGGTCTAGTGGTCATCCCAATGTATAGTAATTTACAAGGATATTGAATTACATAAACAACGTTATCAGTAGAACATGTGGTTAAATGCTGTGAGGTAATATTGATATTTAATGTAGGATGTGAAAATGTTTTGCCCTTCAAAGATTGAGAACAACAGTCACAATTGGCACAACTAATGTGACCCTTAACAGTCTGTTTTTGGAATGTGGTGGGAGAGTGATACTCTGAATGTATCATAAAGTCTCTTAAATTTTTTGATCTTTTGTGAGCAATTATAGGTGTGCTTTCGCATCCCTGGATGTCTTGTACTAGATGCCAGTGTTTAATGATGATCTTTTTAATTTCAGATGAGTATTGTGTTAGAGTTAGAGGCCAGATCAAGCTGTTGTTTTGCTTTCTATGGCATTCCTGCAGTAGCTCATTCCTGTTAATAGAGTTAGCATTGCTGATGGCTGTGTTAAGTATCCTATTGGGGTATCCTCTCTCTCTCAGAGTTGTTTTTTCAGGATACCTGCTGAAGAGTCAAAATCCTTTTGAGTGCTAGAATTATGTTTCAATCTTAAAAGCTGAGAGTATGGTAAATTGGATTTCAGTGAATGATGGTGAAAACTAGAAAAATGAAGGATTGAATTTCTATCTGTTGGCTTGCTGTAATTTTTCACTAATAGTTTTTGTCCATTCTTGATTACCATGATGTTCAAAATGTTGGTGTTGATATTACTACAATGGCTAGTGAATTTCATGTGTTTGTGAAGTGTGTTGATCCAAGTGCAGAACTGGTCATCTACAGATTGAGAATTAACTATTGTAAAGATGTCATCAATATGCCTCCCATAATATAGGATATCTGGCAAAAATTGATTGGTAGTTGTGTTTAGAATGTATCTAGTTTCTAAATGAGAAACAAATAGATTGGCTACTTAAAGTGCCCATAGCTATCCCAAAGGTCTACAAATAAAATTGTTTGTCAAAGCTGAAGTAGTTGTATTCTAACACAATGTCTAAGAGGTCCATTAGGAAGTGAGTGGGAGGAGCCTGGGATTTACATGTATCAAGTATATATTTAATCTCTGTCCTGGCTTCATCTAGTGACTTTACTGGTTTAATTTAGCAATACTGTGAGCTGTTCCACAATTATTGCTTGATACTAATTCATCTTTCCTCCAAAGTGTTCAGTGTGGCTACATGTTCTACCTTCACTCTTCTAAGTTCTAACTTGCAAGAAAGCAATTGTGAGAAAGCATTGCCTAAATGATATCTCACAATGAAATAAGAATCTATGACTGAGGATGAATTTAAACCTAATTTATTTTTCAGGATTCTTATAGATTAGAGCCTTTGGAGTTCTATTTAACTTAGTGGGGAAGAAAAAGTTCACTTACTGTGTGAGAAAAGCTTCCTATGAATTTTAAACCAAGATCAAGGCCTTCAATTAATTTCTTGAAGTTTTCATCTTCAAGAGAAAACCGTTGTCCAAATGTCACTGCTTATATCACATTGGAGACAGAATTTGTGATGGCCATTGAGGGATCAAATTGCTGCCCTGTAAAAATACTTCTAATAACAAGAATTCATCACCTTCCACTAATAGTAGTTGTTGTCCTTCTTTGGGAGATCTGTGGCTGCTCTTCTCAATCCTGAGCAAGATACTGGTATTGTATATAATAGTATTAAGATCAGGACTAAGTGCAGTAAGACTGAATTGTGAAGTTAATTATAAGAGACTCATAGACTTCATTGTTCCCCATGAGAGTGCTGTGTGAGCAAGCAGACTACACAAGTCGATAAAGCAGTCAATTGTGTTTTATTTTTGGCACATATGGAAATAGGGAGGGATGCAGCTGATAAAGGAGCGGGGGATATATGGAGCCAAGGGGCACCTATACAGGTAATAACTGGCAACATATATATATTTCTTTTTTCTTTTATTAGGGGCTATGGCGAGGAACAGCACACACTTTATATGGATGGGGTGGTGTTGTTATTCCTATTATAGGGGTTTGGTTGAGCTCTTTGACTCCTTCTGGCAGCTGGAAGCGGAAGGCCCTCAACAGGTTGGTCAAGAAGAGGAAGTACTCAATTCTTGCCAGTAGCTCTCCCAGACACACCCGGGCCCCTGAAGAGGAAATGAAGAATAGCAGAAAGTGAGTATGCATATATCCCTGACAGCATATAAGGGTGGTTCTGGGAGCAGAGTATTAATTGGTAATCTATGGTCCATTCTTTTTTCTACAAGTGCTCTTCTACATTGAGATTTTTCTTTGGAATTGTTCCTGTATTTATTGAGATTTCTTTTTTTCAATTACACATATGAGTAACTGTTATCTTTGTCCATTACTTGTGAAATTCCAGGAGTAGCCATGATTTTTTTGGCTACTTGCCCTGAGTTCAAGAAGTCATGGCTACTTCTTTCTGCCCTAGGAGTTTGAGATACAAGCAGGGGTAAATTCCCATGTGTTGAATTTCTTAGAAAATAATACTAATAATATAATACTTATAGGATAATACTGATGGGATTTAGTTTCTCAACATTCCCACAAGTTTGGACTTCTACTTTTACCTGCACCAAATGGCAGAAATTCTTCTCTAGCAACAAAATTCCCTTCCTTGTCCAAAAAATGATTCGGATTGAACTCTTCAGGAGTCTCCCATTGCACAGGATCAAAAAGAACAGAGCGTACATCTGGTATAACAATGGTCCCCTAAAAGAAAAGAAAAATGATTGGCACCCACAGAGACACATTTCTCCTGGAACTGCAGGTTCAGTGAGAATGAAATGTCTGTATTTTATACTGACCAAGATCGGATATCAGTCTAGTTATACTACTGCTGAATATCACAATTGGCAGATAGAGTCAGTTGCACATATGTGAGCTTAATTTCCCATTGTTCAATGAGGAACACATTGTTTGTGTCTACACTGTAGAAGTAATGCAGTTTGATACCACTTGAAATGGCATGACTCAATGCTATGGAATCCTTGGAGTTGTAGTTTGGTGAAGCACCAGCCTTTCATTGTAGAGTAGGTGAAAGGCCTTTTAAAATACCAACTCCCATGAGTCCATAGCATGAGACATAGCAGCTAAAGCAGTGTCAGCCTGCAATAATTCTACAGTGTAGGTTTACCTATTGTAGTTAATTGTGTGATCTGAGGACCCTTCCACACAGTCATACAACCCAGGATATCAAGGCAGATAATCCACAATATCTGCTTTGAACTGGGTTATCTGCCATATAAGCCAGTTCAATGTGGATTTTATACAGCTGGGTGGAAGGGGCCTTGGTTAAGAAAGTGCCACAGCAAATGTACTATGCCCAACTAGAATAAACTCATTGAATCAAGACATAGGATTCAACAGTTATACTCTATTAACAGTAGGGGCCCTTCCACACAGCTCTATATTCCAGAATATAAAGGCAGAAAATCCCACAATATCTGCTTTGAACTGGGTTATCCGAGTCCACATTCAGATAATGTGGGGTTTTTAGCCTTGATATTCTGGGCCCTAAGACTGAGACCCATGTGAGATGTTTACACCTATTCATACAAGCATGAACTGAAAATGAATGTATGCATAATGGTCAAAAATTACAACTGGATGTGCAAGAGAACCAACACAAGTTTGTGACAGCAACAAGATTCCCAGCTTTGTGTTTGGGATGCTTTGCCAAGCTCTGTATATTGGCAACATGTTTTGTATGTGTAAGTGTTAGCAGGTAAACAAGAGTGGATTCTTTCCTTTTCCTCCACTGTGACCCAAAGACTCAAATCAAGAGCTGCACCCACATTTCCTCACTCAGGCACACCTCTGAAATGATGTTAGGCCAATGGTGTTGCAAGAAGGCTGAGTCCAGAATCTTGGTTTAAAGCTTTACATTTAATGGGTGGGTGGAAAAAGGAATCCCTTTGACATTCTTGTTATCGTCTGCATAAGCAGCTTATGAATAAAGGAGTGTCTTCAGGAGAATTAGCCCCAAGGCTAAAAACAAGTTTCAAAACTCATTACGAAATTAGAGGCACCAGCATTTCATTTCTAAAGTGTTTTTAAAGTATCATAAGTGAAAATTACGTTACTATAATGAGTGTAATGAAATTTCGTTACTTTTTTGTTATAGTCATTGAGCAAGTGGAGAAACTTCAGGGGATCTGCTTTCCCTCATTTTTATAGGTAATGGAATCAAACTTGCTACAATGATAGAACACATTTACCACTGTTAGCCCATCAAGTTTCAGAATGTTTTACTTATCAACGAAATTTTGGGGAATTTTCAAAGTTTTTATAAACAACATTTTTTTTAAAGTACAAGATCTATCTCCTTGAATTTTCTATACAATGACACAAGATGACAAGGGATCATTCCCCCCAACTTTCAGAAATATTCGGACATCTACTGATTTTGGGGATTTTTTTAAATTTTTGACAAAAATTTTTTTTTGAAAAAGCCACAACAGCTATCTCATTGAATGCCTCTCATATTAACCAATAGAACTACCATTTAGGCATTTCTTCTCAGCCCAGCACAGAGATTTACTTACTAGAAGTATCAGTCAGTCCTCCTCTGCATATTCAACAATTTATTGGAACTCTGGCTGGTTGCTGCTATGAATGGACAAATCTCTCCCCTATTGGGATTGTTGCGCAGCTGTCTGAGTGTCAGCTGCATTAAGATCACTCTGACCAGAAGGTCATGAGTTCGAAGCCAGCCTGGGTCAGAGTGAGTGTCCAGCCAATTGTGTAGCTTGTTGTCGACCTTTGCAACCCGAAAGACAGTTGCATCTGTCAAGTAGGAAAATTAGGTACCACCTATATGTGGGGAGGCTAATTAACTAATTTATGAGGCCACAAAAAAAAACTCCAGCAAAGCATGCAGGGAATGCGGAAGTACTTCACCAGTGTCGCAGGTGGACAATGAAAGCGACAGCTCCCCTGGCGGCCAGAAAAAGTTAAATAGCCTCTGTGTATGTCTATATACGTTGCATGTCTAATTGGCACTGAATGTTTGCCATATATGTGTACATTGCAATCCACCCTGAGTCCCCTGCGGGGTGAGAAGGGCGGAATATAAATGCTGTAAATAAATAAATAAATAATATCCTGACTGGAGCTTTCTGATGCTAAGCGGAATTCTGTGAAATGTAGTTTAGGGCAGGGCCTTTTAAATTCTCTGGCATAGGGCTCCTTCCCTTTACAAAGTACATTAACCAGAATGTTGTACGTTCTCAGTCTCTTTCCCAGTGAACTCTTGCTTTCTCCCTGCTGCTTCTCTCTCCTAATGGCAAGAGGGCATTAATTTAAAGATGAAAGGCAGCCTTTTTGGCTATGCTTTGCTTCCTTGCACTGAAAATGAAACTGACTTTGAGAAGCATCCAAGGTTTACAAAATTCAAATGAAAAAGTATGGGGTAAGTTTCGACTCTTAAGTTTTTAGCATGGGCCAAGCCTACATGTCAGATATCGCGTCGTAAGTACGAATTTAACTAATTTGATCCAAATTACGAGAACTAACAATGATTTTGCACAGCCCTACTAGCCACCCATGGTAAGCAGCTCAAAAACACTTTATATCTTTTCCCGCTCCCACTTTGAAAAGTGGCAAATGGGAGTTAGGCATCTGAGTTCATTCCCAGGTTTCATGTACTATTTCTGTAAAAAAAAAATGGATGTTTATACACAATGTCATTTTAATTACTTTCTTGTTTGTAACTTTTAATCTTTTTTTAATGGGCCTTAATAGCAGAATATATATTCACAAAATATATTTTGTAAGCTTTGGGATCAAGATCAGTGCAATAAGTAACCATGAATCAAAGTTACTGACAAATGGAACAGCCCTGGATTATGATTTGGATGGCATGATTTTTAATGGTTGTTTTAATAATTTATGTTTGGCTTGGTTTTAACTGTAACTCTTATTTTAATATATTGTATATGGCATCAAATTGTAAGGCTGCCTTGAGTTTCCTCCAGGCTGAGAAAGGTGGAGTAAATAAATAAATAAATATATTTTTTCACTACTCAAAATACATCTGGGTGGGTATGTTTGTCAAAATGCCATCCCCTGGAGCTCTACATGCATGTGCAGACGTAAACATTCTGTACCTTGGGAATGCAAAAGCCTCTCAAGTTCATGTCTTTAGTTGATTGTCTTGCAAATCCAACTAACAAGATATATTTTGAACGCTGGATCTCATGAAACACAGCATTTGTATAAGGCAGTTTCTTAAGGTCTTGATAGCAGATGGAGGAGGAAACCAAAACATCTTCTATCTCCTTGTGGACTTTATCTGAGGAAAATGTCAGAAATAGTACATTTTGTTTCAAAAACCTTGAAAAATCATTAATGATACACACAATGAAATTATTCATAGGTAGGTAGTCCCTTGACATTAAGTCCAGTCATGTCTGACTCTGGGGTGTGGTGCTCATCTCCATTTCTAAGTCGAAGAGCCAGCGTTGTCCGTAGACACCTCCAAGGTCATGTGGCCAGCATGACTACATGGAGCGCCGTTACCTTCCCAACGTAACGATACTCACATGACCTTCCCGCTGGAGCGGTACCAATTGATCTACTCACATTTGCATGTTTTCAAACTGCTAGGTTGGCAGAAGCTAGGGCTGACAGCGGAAGCTCACGCCGCTCCCCGGAATCGAACCTGCGACCTTTCGATCAACAAGCTCAGTAGCTCAGTGCTTTAACCCACTGCGCCACTAGGGGCTCCGAAATTATTCATATGAATGTATTAATATAAATGCAACACACTTCAATGAAACTTAGTTTAGTTAGTTTTGTTACATTTTGGTCTGACTTTTCAAGGTTGAAAAAGTACAGCCTTTTGAGCACATAGACTCCATGAGTATTTTGTTTGCTTCCAGCACACTCAGACCACTGACAAAGCCCCTGCATCTCCAAATCTTTTCAAAAGAAAATTTTCAGGTGAAAATCAACTCCAGATTATCCAAAACAGACACAGTTGAATTATTATATGTATTTGTTTCATTAGTAATTCCTCACACCATTGACTCACACCAATGTTCCATTTATTGTTTTACTATGTTTAGGTTTCCCTAATTCGTACTTTTCAGACTCCATGTTCCTATAACATGTGTTGTACAGGTTATGCAAATTCAGACTTTCTTTTATCTTCTGAGCAAATCAAGAGTTCGCCATTCTTTTTTCAGTAGCTTCTTTAGCCATAGCACTGCTCATAATCCCCATCTACTCGGATTATTTAATGTAGTTTCAAACCAGATTGAAGAAAGTGGTTTTGTTAACTTCAAACTGTATTAAATGGTCAGTAGAGATGAGTAGCCCAATTGTCTTCCCTGCCTCTGTCAGGGGTAGAATTCAGAATATCCTCCAACTTTGGATATTTTTATTTATTTATTTCACGTATTTCTACCCCGCCCTTCTCAACCTCCGAGGGGGGACTCAGGCTTACAAAAGGCACAGTTCGATGCCTACACAAGCAATAAAAATAAGACATATATAAACAGCAATTAAAACAATTATAAACAATTAAAATAATTATACATCACAATCAATAAAATCAATCTTATGCTCAACGTTTGTTAGCTCAGAACATGGGGAAGACTATGTTAAAGCATATTTGCCCCACTTTGTCTTGGATCAGTCCCACACAGTGTGGAGCCATCACAGAGCTGATCCAAATCTACATTGACCTAAGTGGTCTGTATAGATGGGGCTCTTATCACCCTAAGGAGAGAGCTGCAAAGCTTGTGAGCAGATGGAGAAACCCTTCTTTCTTGGAAAGACAGTGAGACTGAAAGGAAGAGCTCTTACAAGATGAGTGATATTTGTTTTAGAACAGAAGCTATTAGACTAAAAGCTGAATATGATTTCCCCTCTTTTTAACATACCTTGGAAAGATGTTAAATCTTATAAACAGTACAATTCACGCAATAGGGGTTTTCAAAAGGAGCCCTTGTGTTGGGGTTCAGCCTGAGTTTGAACTTTAACCTGATTCTCTGTTTGTTCCTCCTGATGCTAATGAAAATATATTTACTGATGCTAGTGGAAATGTACCTTTTGATGCCAATGCTCCTGAAATTAGTGAGGAAGAAACTGCTGTAGGTTTGGAAAATGCCAATGTTCCTGAAATTAGTGAGGAAGGAACTTCTGTAGATTTGGAAAATGAAAGTACCAGTGTTCATGAGAATGTTTCAGAGGGAGCCTTGACCTTTCCCTCCCTTCTGCACCTGTTAACTGTAATGACAACAGAAGGGGCCAAATTTGGCAAGATAGAAATAAATCACTCAGCTTGCGTCGATCCTCCCGAATTCAAGAATTAAAAACATTGGCTTCAAAGAAGAGGGGCGGTTCACGGAACCAATTCTTGGCTTTTAATTGCCTTCCGCCGGGCTGACTGTTTCAGTTCAGGCATCGTTTCAGAATTGATGAAGACCTTGGCAGCTCTCCCGGTTCCCTGGCCATAGCTTGGGAAGATTTCTAGGATATCAAGTACGGTTAGTGAATCACTAAACAGGTTCCAGTATTTTGCAGTGTGGCTTTGGGTTTTGTTCTTGTGCATTTAAATTCATGTTTGCTGATTTTGCTGTGGCTTTTGACTTGCATTTTTCCTTTATTTTGTAACCATTTTTCTTCAATAAAAAAGGATTGTTTTTCACAGTCAAGTGTGGTGGATAGTTATCTTAGGGCCTCGTTCCCTGCTCTGGATTGCAACACCTTGTTTCCATTGCATAGAGATATCTCTTACCCTGGATATCTGGATGATTTGTCAAAAGGAGGATTGCCCATTTCAGAGTGGTGGCAGTTGTTTCTGATCCAGCAATAAAGAAGTCATGAATACACTGAGCCAAGTTTTCTTCATCATATGTAGTATTAGGATCATTCTTGCTCTGATGATGAAAATGAGAAAGTTGAAATTAATTTGTGATTAATTATAATCATGCCTTCAGAGCTTTCTTTACTTCTGTAGCCACATATAATTGAAGTAGAAAATCAAGTTTTATAACTGAGCATAATGGTTCTGGCCCAGCTTACCTGTCTGAATGAATCTCCCTCTAGGAACCACCAAGGAGGTTAATATCTTCTGGGGAGGCCCTGCTTTCAGTCCCGCTTGCTTCACAAGTGCGGTTGGCGGAGACGAGAGACAGGGCCTTCTCCCCAGTGAGATTAGATCAGTGCCCTCTATAACAAAAGACGCAAGGCTGGAGGCTTATTAATATTATGCCTGGGCAGGATGGATCTTCCCAGAGGTTTACCTTTGAATTAAAGCTGCCACCAACCTAAGGTGTTTTTGGATTTTTTTAAAAAAAACTATTTGAGATGAACTTTACTCACTCCTGCCAACCCTGCTTTTATCCCTGGCTACCAAACACCTGTTTGTTGAGAGGTTTTTCTGTAGTAACAGGGTGTTAAAAATGCTGGAACTATCACAAAGGCTTGACGGTGGAATGATGTACAGTAGAGACTTTGTTGAAAGTCAAATAGAATAAGTTTTATTTTTAAAAAAGACAACTAACCACTCCTGAGAGGTACAAAAAGCTTGACTTGTTACAAAAGTACTTCAGCTTGATTGGTTGCTTGAACAGTCCTCTTCACTTTGTTCCAGGCAGAGCTAACCAAACAGAACTAACTGTTGGTAACAAAACCCTCGCTCTCTTTCGGAGAATAGTGAGGAGTCTGACTAGCCTATCTAGGTAGCCCTTGGGTTACTAACTAACTCTACCCTAGAGTTCTTCCTATTAACTAACCAGCCTGTGCTAACTCTCACAAGAGATCAGATTGCTGTCTGACCTTTTTCCTGTCAGCTCATAGCACTGTCTAACACAGACACTCTCTCCTAGCTCTCTCCCTCAAACCCAGTTTCAAACTCTACACCTTCACATAGCAGCTCCCAGCTCCAAACTCTCACTGAAGCTACCTTCTTTCCCTCCTCAGACTTGGCTCCTCCCAACTGCTCTGGCCAATCCTGGGAGTCGCTAAACCCCTCCCCTCTTCCAACCATCCTCACTCAAGATGGCTGCCTCCCTGGCATTCCCTCCTAAAATGGAGGCCTGCCTTACTGTTATCCAGACTCCCTTTCCAGCCTACCAGGTAGGATTCACCACACCCTCCCTCCTGGCCTTTAAAAAGAAAACAAAGACATGGTTATGGAATCAAACCAAGCTTTTTATTATTAAAGTAATGCAGTGTAAGAAGCAAATACAGAATATGTGCAATCGACATTGGAATGGCCCAGTCTACACACTTGGATCACATGATTTTAATGTTTTTATTAGATGTTTTAATTCTTATATTTCATACTTTAAATGTCTTTTTCTTATCTTATAGTGAATTGTTTTATTGATTTTATGTTTAGTTATATGGCGATTTGATTTGATTTGCGATTTGGCTTACATACGTAAGGCATTGGATTTTGCCATTGTTATTGTGTAAACTACTTTGAGTCCCGCCAGGAGTGAGAAAAGCAGTATATAAATACTGTAAATAAATAAATAAATACATAAATAAATTTCTTGCACACAAGCATGGATGTACAGTATCTGCTGTGAAGAAGTTCTCTGTTCTGTCATAATTAAGGCCATCCATTCACCTTTAAAGAGAAGTGAGACAACATAGTATATGAGAATGAGTGAGGTCAAGTTTGAGATTATTTTGGAAGTTTCTCTTCCATGTCATTATACTGCTAGGTGTCATATTAGTTCAGATATTTGCAATAAGAAAAACACTAATATGGGTCCAGATGTTTATACAGTGCAGAGCTGAATGGAAAGTTCAAAGCTGTGCATATATAGTTAGCACATGGAATGTGTTTTTAATCATTGTGTGCATGAAACAAAGTTGTGTGCACTGAATCATCAGAAAACTGAGGAATGTTTTATATACAGATTTCCAGATGAGAGATACCTAACCAGCAACAGAATGGAAGGGCATCACCCAGAGATTCTCTCCAGATGAGAAATAAGGGTCTCTGAAAGTCCCAGGTTTTGTTCCTACACAAATCAATTTTATTTTGAAGGTCCACATGACTTTTCTGCATCTTGAAGGATTTCTGGGAGTTCCTGGCAGCAAGTATTCTTCATTCCTACTCTCTAGATCAGTTTAAATTTATCCACTATTTTCTGATATGTAATGTATCTCTACTTGTCCTTTTATTATTCTCCTTTCTCAGAATTAGCAGACACCACTGACTTTAAACACAACTATTGTATCTAGGACACAGATGGAACAAAATAATCCTAATGTTTAACCAGTGTATTTTGCTACAACGCTTTAGCACTGTTTATACCTCCTGAATAATAATAAAGAATGCTCATTGGAAATTAGTGAAAATCAGGTTTTTTTTACCTAGATGTGACAGGTCAGCAGAAAAATAGGGAGGAAAAAGAACACAAGGAGTGGGAATGAAGGGACCTGGAATATTTCAAGGAAGGGTTTGCATATGTAGATAAAATCCAAACAAGAAGAATGGGAAACTCTAAATACTTTCAAAGACTTGTTTCCCTTCTGGATAATCACTGATACTTCTGGATAATCACTGATACTTACTTTCTCCATCTGAAGTAGATAGAAATCAATGAAGTCCTGTGGCTCATGGTAGGAGTTGTCCTCCTTGTGCTGCTCTATTTTCTTCTTTGCTAATGAAAACAGCATATCCGAGGTACCTAATGCCTGCTTGTGAGGTCCAGGAAGATGCTTCATGAGCCATGGAATTACTTCATAAAGCTAAAGGAAAGACAAAAATAAGATCCAGCCTGTATGTTCAACCTGTAGACTAAATCTAGATAGATACAGTTACACGGGAGTTGCATCATACCACCCTTCTGCTGAACAACAACACTCCGCAACTAATTGTTTCTCTTGTCGACCAATTGTTTCTCTTACCAAATTTCTAACTTTATCCATGTTGTCTCTCAAACTCTAAGATTTATTTAGAATTTAATTAAACTCACTAAATCATTCATATCAGCTCTTGCCCTTGGCCCCAGAGAATGGAGAAAGATGCCAGTGTCTCTCATCACTTCCCTCCCAATACATATATTCTTTCATGGCTGTATGCTTTTTGCAGGGAGAAGAAGGGAAAAGGGATTTTCCTCAAGGAAATGATACCTTTACATTGCTCTGGCTGCAGACTTCATGGTTGCATAAGTGTATCCTATGGTGTAATTCTCTTGTTAGACAAGCAACAGAAGTAAGGGGAGGGAAGGCAAGGCAGATATTCAATGAGATAATTTCTATATGTTTAATTATCAGATTTACAATAATATTATTTATAGAGTCTGAATTTCTCATGAAATGAGTTATATCCTCCTCGTCTCAGCCATATCTAAATCAGGATCATGTTGCATTTTCGCAAAGGTTTCTTAACATGTCCCCCAAAAGAGCAGATCCTAGGATTCCACAGGATGTTGACATGTCAACAAAGGAGGAATAAAAGAGCTTGAATTCTAAAATGCAAATGGGCCCTGAGTCAATTCTCCCCATTGCTAAAATATTCACCAATGCTATAAGAATACAATAAAAACCAGTAAAACCTTATATGGGACCTTTAAATACTGTTGGATAGGACAAGTGACAACTCAGAGTTCAATGAACTTTTGGGAGATCAGGGTTACAATCTGCATCTTTCTATATCCAATTCACTATGGTCCCACTTCCACAGCTGGTAACCATGCTTTTGTTGAGGCTTGTGAAGCCTCTGAGGATTTTCTGTTTGAGCCTGATGTTTCTGTGGGGGAAAGCAAAAGTGTTTTTCGAAAAGATGGGAATTTTTTGGGTAGATCTGTTGTCAGGGAAACAGGTAGTGATTCTCATGAGATTCACCCAGGAACTGACTCTGAAAGGAATGTGGAGGAGACAGGAGGGTTACTGATAACCCAGTGTTTACAGCTCAGAAGGGATAGTGCGAAACAGAGACAAATTCGTTGTTCCCAGAGACTGAAAGTTAAACAAAGGGACCCAGGTGTGAAAAAGTGTGATGTCATGGGCAAGAGGGAGTATCCTTAAGGAATTGGAGTCAATGCTCAGTGGGGAGATCAGTGTTTATTTTTCATGTGTCAAGTTGCCTTTCTTCAGAATTCTGAGTTAGAAGATCTGTTCTTGGGTCTGTATCTTGTTTTCCCCTTTAAGTTCCATGCCTCCTTTTTGGATTAAAAATCTTGTTTCCAGTTTCAAGCCTTCATATTATGGTCAAGTTCAAGTATAAAACATTTGGATTATGGTCATGCTCATGTTTTCAAAATTTTGGATATAATTCTAGTTTAAGTGCAACAATCCTTGGATTACAGTTTCTTGCTTTTGTCTTCAGGGATTTTTGGAATTCATATTCTGTGTTGGTCATTGATTTTTGTTAAGCTCCTAGAAATCTAGCTTATGGATATAACTTGCAAACTGCTTTTTCATACTGCATTTTGCTGGTACTTCAGTTAATGCTTAGTCTGCTTATTTTAAACACTATTTTATATTAGATACCCTTTTCTTATAAACTTATTATTCTTGTTGATCTGTGTGGAGTTTCGGTGAAAAAGGGATCAAGCAGGCAGCTCAACAGCTTCAATACTTGTGACTTTTCTAATATTCTGCTCCATTGGAAGGAATAATTGGAAGAATTGTGCTTGATATCTACAAAAGCTCATACTGAAATAAATCAGTTAGTCTGAATGGTGCTATAGCTTTCTCTACACCCAGCATCACACATTACCCTTTTTATGCTACCTACTCCGGATAACTCATGCATTCGTTCAAGACAACTAAATATGATGAATGTATGAACTGGGCTAATTTCAACACCATACTTACCCTTAACCCATTATGATATATATGTTAAGCTCTGAACTGACTTTACTGCTTTAATTTGGTAATACTGTGAACTATTCCACAATTATTGCTTGGTTTTGATTCATCTTTCTTCCAAAGTGTTCAGTGTTGCTACATGTTCTACCTTCACTCTTCTAACTTCTATGCATTCCCTAAATGATATCTCACAATGAAATAAGAACCTATGGCTGAGAGTGAATTTAAACCTAATATATTTTTTCAGGATTCTTATAAATTAGAGCTTTTGGAGTTCTATTTAACTTAGTGGGGAAGAAAAAGCTCACTTACTGCGTGAGAAAAGCTTCCTATGAATTTTAAACCAAGATCAAGGCCTTCAATTAATTTCTTGAAGTTTTCATCTTCAAGAGAAAACCGTTGTCCAAATGTCACGGCACATATCACATTGGAAACGGAATTTGTGATGGCCATTGAAGGATCGAATGGTTGCCCTGTAAATAGAGTTCTATTAACAAGAATACATCACCTTCCACTAATAGTAGGAGTTGTTCTTTCTTTGGGAGCTTACCATTGCATTACAAATCAACTACAATATGTTAAATTCCTCTCCACAGAGCAGAACAGGCTGCACAACAATTTCTTCAAGCTGAGACAAATACTAGAAACCAGCACCCAATACTACATACCTTTTTCACTTGCAATTATCTCTACAAGCTGCTGGGCTTCTGCTTCTATTTGGCTCTCCATATCTTTTTTCCCCAATCCCAGTTTCCGCATCGTAAAGAGCCCAAATCGTCTCTGCTGCTTCCACAAGTGGCCGTTGGAAAGTACAACACCTGCAAGGCATAACAAATCCATATTTTACTATTACTTACAAAATTAATGCCAAAATGCTTAGGTTGCTAGCCTTAACTAGGCATTCTTTACTACAGAATATGCTGATGTGAGGGATAATGTATTTTGCAAGTCTCACAGACAAACCATGTGGATCTCAGAATCAACTTAGTGAGTTTCACTTTTGTGTTGTTATTTGCTATTAAGTTATGGTGATCCTATGAATGAAAGACCTCCAAGATCCCTGGTAATCATCTGCCCTGCTCAAGTCTTGTATGGTTGTAGCTTCCTTCGTCGAATCAATCCACCTCTAATGCTGTCTCTTTTTCTGCTGCCTCCCACTTTCCTAGCATTATTGTCTTTTCTAATGCATCATGTCTTCGTGGGTTATGTCCAAAGTATAACAGACACACTTTTGGTCATCTTCAAGTTTAGGCAGCAGTTGTGTCTTTCCTGGAAACATGTTTGGAATGCCCAGTTTGGGGGCTACCACTTTGAGTTGCTTTGCAATGTGGCCTAGCTGTAGTAGTGCCATAGATTTCCTTACCACCTTTCCTCTTGCAGATAACTCATCTCCTCTTGACTTCCTTGGTTTCTTTCCCAGAACTGCTCACGTGCGTGCTTTCTCTCTGCTTGATTTTTTCCCCATGCATCATTTTCAAACCAAGCTTATCAATCAACCCTTTTGTGATAAGAGACTTTTGCTCCTTAGAGTTTAGGTAACTCACTTTCTTAGTGTCAAAAAGAAGAAAGGGAGTGGGGAAGAAGGATTGTGGCAGCACCACAGTGCTGTTTTTCACTGACTGAAACTTTCACAGAGTGTTCATTTGTTCTTGCCTATTTTCCATTGAGAAAGGTCTAATGCAGCCTCTTCACAATTTACCTTTTGTTCTTCCAAGATCTCTAAAGAAAGGCGTCAGTGGCCTGTCAGATAATTCTTCCAAGTGGTTGACCAGTCCTTCTTTCACAACATGGAATCCAGATAGTACTACAACAGGAAAATTTGCCACCCATATTGTATAAATGTTTCCATATTGCTTTGCTATCTGTCATTAGGAACAAAGTAGAAGAAAGAGATGTTACACTCAGACGAATCAAGTTATTTTACATCAATATGTGAATGCCAGTTGTCCTGAAACTTTTACTTCTGCAGGTCATGCCCTTGTTTCCCAGTTTTTCATTCCCCCTCAGAAAACTGGTGAGATCTTCTCTACTCTGCTCTCTGTTGCTGGAACAATACCTCTCTTAACCTTACTTATGAGTTCCTATGTGAAATTAAATGTTCACAGAATAGTCTTTACACAACAATGAAAGATGATGAAAAAGAGGGCTTGTTTATCAAATCTGCAGAGGATACCAGGTTAGGAAATCCTAATGCCTTTAGCAGATTAAAGAGCTCGGCTAAAACTAACAAAATGAATGTCACCAAAGAGGAATGCAAGGGACTACACTTAGAGGAAATGAAATGCACAGATATAGGATGGCTGACACCTCTTTGTACAAAAAGACCTTTGAGACAGGCTGATGTGAGGCTTCTGTCTTTATTCCTTTAGTCCAGTGGTTCTCAACCTTCCTAAGGCCACGACCCCTTAATACAGTTCCTCATGTTGTGATGACCCCCAATCCTAAAATTATTTTCGTTGCTACTTCATAACTGTAATTTTGCTACTGTTATGAATCGTCATGTAAATATCTGATAGGCAGGATGTATTTTCATTCTCTGGACCTTGGGAGTTGTAGTTGCTGGGATTTATAGTTCACCTACAATCAAAGAGCATTCTGAACTCCACCAGAGATGGAATTGACCCAAACTTGGCACACAGAACGCCCATGACCAGCAAAAAATAATGAAAGGGTTAAGTGAGCATTGGCCTTGAGCTTGGGAGTTGTAGTTCACCTATCTCCAGAAAGCACTGAGGACTCAAACAATGATAGATCTGGACTAAACTTGGCACGAATACTCAATATGCCCAAATGTGAACACTGCTGGAGTTTGGGGAAAATAGACCTTGACATTTGGGAGTTGTAGTTGCTGGGATTTATAGTTCACCTACAATCAGAGAGCATTCTGACCTCCACGATAGAATTGGGCCAGACTTCCCACACAGAACTCCCATGAGCAACAGAAAATACTGTGTATCATGATGGTCTTTGGCGACCCCTCCGACACCTCCTCGCGACACCCCCAGGGGTCCCGACCCCCAGGTTGAGAAACACTGCTTTAGTCTAACATGTTCTGTCAGATGAAATATTCTGTTTTAATCTCCACAGCCAGCAAACATGAGGACTAACTTATTTATTATTTATTTATTTCGAGCTTTTATAACCTGGTCTTCTCAACCTCCGAAGAGAGACTCAGGCCGGCCAACAGAAGAGGGTTAAAATACAATAAGATAAACCACAGTAAACATCATAATACAACAGTACAAAAATACATTAAAATACAATTATACAACTTACAAAAGGTCACTTCGTCAGAATAAATCATAAATTCATCGCCATTCGCCAGTTTGGTCAGCAGTTATTGACTCAGTCATCATTCTGCGAATGCAGTATTCCAAAGCCATGTCTTTACCAGCTTTCTAAAAGTCAGAAGGGAAGGAGCAGATCTAATCTCCATCGGGAGGGAGTTCCAGAGCCGAGGGGCCACCATCGAGAAGGCCCTGTCCCTCGTTCCCACCAATCAAGATTGCGAAAGAGGTGGGACCGAGAGCAGGGCCCCTCCAGAAGATCTTAATAACCTTGATGGTTCAGTCATGCAGTCATGAAGAGTAAGGGCTCTCTCTTGTCCACCCCTCAAGCACCAATGTAAGGAATTCCTCCTGTTTCTTCTATGTGATTACTTCCATTATATCTCCTTCTCAGGACCTCATCAGATGCCCACACACCCTTTCTTCACACTTGTAAAACAGTTCACAGACAAGAGTCCCACACAACCCATCATACAGCACAGAACTATTTCCACCTGTCCTCTGTGATACATTGTCTGTGAATTGTTTTAAAACTGTGGAAAAATGAGGGGGGAGGTGGAGCCAGAAAGAAACCACCTTCCGAGTTCCTGATTTGTGTGGAAACTGGAGAAGGCATTCATTTACACGTGGGATGGGATCTGTCAGCTTCCCTTGTGTTGCTTCATTTCAGTGATGTAAAGGAATGGGAGTTCTTAGGGGCATTCATGCTCCAGTTCTCTGTAAAAATCCTGCTGCATGATCCATTAATCACTATATTTTATTACATTTAATCATTGTGAATAGTGCAATTTCAAAAGATTACTGCTTTGCTGTGACGATATTTTCCCCTTCATTGAAGCCTTGACTATTGCAATTGCACTATTACTTTTTGGTTTTTGGATTGTTGTTGTTCATTCGTTCAGTCGTCTCTGACTCTTCATGACCTCATGGACCAGCCCACGCCAGAGCTCCCTGTCGGCCGTCACCACCCCCAGCTCCTTCAAGGTCAGTCCAGTCACTTCAAGGATGCCATCCATCCATCTTGCCCTTGGTCGGCCCCTCTTCCTTTTGCCTTCAACTTTCCCCAGCATCATGGTCTTCTCTAGGCTTTCCTGTCTCCTCATGATGTGGCCAAAGTACTTCAACTTTGTCTCTAGTCTCCTTCCCTCCAGTGAGCAGCCGGGCTTTATTTCCTGGAGGATGGACTGGTTGGATCTTCTTGCAGTCCAAGGTTATTTGTATTACAATTATTATTTTACCACTTATAGGAAGCAGTAAGTCCTGGAACAATGCAAAGTAACCATAATAAAAAGAAGAAAATGCATAGTGGACAGGGACTACAGGTGCTTCTGTGATATTTGAAAACACAGGTGATTTCAGCAGATATCATCAAAAATAACGGGTGTGTGATGGGTTTTGAAAGATGATATGATTCTATTTCAAACACAACAGGACGATACGCTATGGTAAGAAGACAATACCACTCGCTTTCTGCAACTCATGTGATAAGGTCCTTAATCTAATATCTCTCTCTTTTGGCTTTACTCATGGTCTTTCACGAATTGCCATTGGAAGAATACTGCTGGCCATTTCAGCAAAAGAGATACAAACATGATTTTAAAAAGGCCAATCCCAAAACATGCCCCGAAAGACTCATTGGCACAGAAGATAAGATGCAGACAGGTCTACCTATCACATTTCTGACATCTGTGGCAAAATTAAAGATTATTGATGTTGACTGTTTCCCATATTTCTAAAAGATTCTTTGCCTATGAGTGTCTGACAAAATGGACCTTGCATCGTGTGGTAGGACCCACAGGCACCAGTAGGCAAAGATCATCAGAGGTGGGATTTAAGAGTTTGTAATAAAGTCCTAACTGTGTGTTTAGATGACAAGCTGTGAGCAATTATAGTTGGTATTGAATGCGTAATGCTTAATGACACCATCAAGGGTTGTCCCTAGTTCTAAGATTTTGGTCTAGAAACTTCAGGGTCCAAGATGATCTTGTATTAGCAGACCTATTTACAGATAAGTTTTATTCATCATCTTGGATAAGTCCTTTAAAGTTTGGACTAAACCTCAGGGCATATTATTCACCACTAAAAGCTGAATCACCAGATTTCGTCATGTGGTCTTTCCTTTCTTTATGTCCATCATGTCAAGTTGTCTCATTACATGTGGGACAACTATACTTTTAACATTTGCGTGTGCATGGGCAATACACCTCCCACAGCCCCCCCAATAAAACACACACAAGGTTTTTGGGGTAAAAAAGGCCACAACTCATTTATTGATAAACAGGAACAAGGGTTGGCAGCCATGCATGGGTCCTGGATCATGATCAGGCAGCCCGCTGCTGATCGATACCGCTAAACACACTAGGGTGCCGCCGGCACAATACCGGGCCCACGTAAACTCGGCACCCCTTGATACCACCAGCCATTCCCCCCTTCCACTGGGGGGGGGATACCAAGCCAGCCAGGGCCCATGCCAAATGCCAACACGGAGTTGTGACGGAAGCATGAAACCAACACATATGAACAAGCTAACAAAACAAGCTAATGGCAAACCGCAACACAATCAGCATGCAGGGAGGGTGGGATGGGTCAGCTGCTGAAGGCACGATGCCTGCTCGGAGGCTCTGGACAGACTTAAATAGGCTGCCCGAGAGGAGGGAAACGCCAGCACTGACCTCACCGGTGGCGAGGCGTGGCCGGCTGGCCATTGGGTGCTTTGCTGGCCAGCGGGAAACTTTCCCACCGGCCCAGGAAGCTTCTGGGAAGGAGAAGCCCCCTGAGGCAAGAATGGTGGTGGAGGACGCCCCACACCTCAACATCCCTGGCCTGGTAAGTCGGGCCATGCCATTAACTAAACCTGGAGTAGAAAGGCTTCATGCAAAGTTCCACCAGAAACAGAGCTGCATTTGTCAGAAAGAGAAGTACTCTTCCATATCAGACATGTCTTCCAGAGAGTTATTCAAGGGGGTTGCTGTTTTTTCACACACAGCACGTTTGCACACAGCCATCACAGAAAGAAAATAAGGCACTGTTGTTTTCTGTAACTATCTTACTTCTCTAAATATGCTAACAGCTAATTCTTGAGAAAGAAGTACCTTTATCAGAGTATCTTCACGATATCCAAACCCGATTCGCCATAGGCCTCCAATGAAAGGAAGTGAAAGAGGCCCAGGAGGATAATTTCGGCATGATTGTTGTTGTCTCCAAAAGTACTGGATCAGAAGAATCACCAGGAGAGCAATCAAATATACCCACACTCCCTCCATACTCCAGACTTCCCTTTCTCTTTTACTCTTTTCAACCTGCAATGTGTGAAGCTGAAAGAACAAGGTCATGTGCTCTTTCTCCTCTCCTCTCTCTCTTTCCTATTCACACCTCTTTAATATACTTCAAATATTAAAACAACAATTGATTCATATCAGTCTTAACAATTTGCCCGTTGGGCATCAGCAAGTGGAATGCATAGCAGTTTTCAACATGTTTATATGTGGTATGTCAGATGTTGCATAAACTAGTGGCTAGTACAGAATCTGTTTTGTATCAAAGTACATGCAGACCGCATCGATATGGTAGTCCAACTGTAATCATTAGCTCTTAATAGCACCCTTCTTAAAGTTCTTCAAGATTTGCATACACACACACACACACACACACTAGCCATCCCTTGCCATCCCTTGCCATACATTGCTATGGCCCAGTCTGTGTATATATGTTTTGTGTGTGTATATGTATGTGTATCTATTTGTGTATTTGTATATATGTGTGTTTGCATATATATATGTGGTTTTGTGCATGTGTTGTAATGTCATTTTTGGTTTTTGCCTTTTTGACTCTCTTCTGCTGTGTTTTTCAGTGTTTTTATGAATGACTAGTCGTCCCCTGCCATGCTTTGCTGTGGCTCAGTCTGGTGATCTGGGAAATAAAGTAATGAGAAAGTGTTGGTTTCTAATATATGTAATTTCTTTATGCTTGTGGGTAAACATTATAGGGTTCAACCCCCCTCCCCCCCACCCCCGAAATTTTTCAGGTTAAAAACAACAACCTGGTTTACTCATGAATTTTAACTGGTTAACCAAATCCCCATGCTAAGTCTATGGGATGCAAAAAATTAAGAGTCCCTCCAGAACTACAACACTATCTCAAGCAAATATTGACAATTTATTCACACTGCCATTACTTGCAGCAATATCCGATGTAGCAAAGCAACCAAGTTGAGGGGAGGGGTGTTGAATGCTCTCATTAAGGAGGCCAGACTTGGTGGAGGTGGTTGACAGGGGCGGAGCTGCAGGCTATTGAAGGCTGCTCTGCCCCCTGCTGTACTCTTTGCTTCAGCGTGAGCTAGGAGGCAGGTTTCAACCCCCTCCCCGAAATTTTCAAACCCCCCCCCCCCCGAAATTTTCAACCCCTCCTGAATTTTTTTTCTGGCTACGGCCCTATGTGTGTGTGTGTGTGAATCATATATATCTATCTATATCTATGGCTGGATGGCTCTTGGTCAGGAGGGCTTTGATTATGTTTTCTTGCCCTGGTGAAGGGAGTTGGACTGGATGGACTTAAGTATTTTCTATTGATCATGGGGGTTCTGTGTGGGAAGTTTGCCCCAATTCTGTCATTGGTGGGGTTCCGAATGCTCTTTGATTGTAGGTGAACTATAAATCCCAGTAACTATAACCCCCAAATGTCAAGGTCTATTTCTCCCAAACTCCATCTGTGTTCATTTTGGGCATATGGAATATTTGTGCCAAGTTTGGTCCAGATCCATCATTGTTTTGAGTCCACAATACATTGGGATGTTTTGGTGCTAAATTCATAAATACAGTAATTATTACATAATGTAACCTTGTATTGAAGTGCTTTTTCTGCCGATTTGTTCTAAAACATGATGTTTTGGTGCTTAAGTTGTAAAATCATAATGTAATTTTATGTTTAATAGGCTTTTCCTTAATCCTTCCTTATTATCCAGCATTTTCGCTTATCCAACATTCTGCCAGCCAATTTATGTTGGATAAGCAAGACTCTACTGTATTGACTTGAATCCTATTGGAGTCAAATAAACATGCAAGTTTGTGGAATGCTCCTCCAGGCCCATCCCCTCAAAAGTCTAACTGAAGCCAACACTTGTGCCATTTATGTGCCAATTTAACACCTGGCTGATCACCAATGCCTTTTGGCCTCATTAATTCAATCCAAACACTGTTATATATAATTTTTCAAGTTTTAACAATATTGCAATCTGTTTTAACTCATTATATTGTTTAGTATGGTTAAGCTTATTTAAATTATCTTACTATTTAAATGCACTTTATAAGCCAAGTGGGATCTAGAGGGAGAAGAAGTTTGTTTTTGTTTTTTTTGTCTTACATAAGCAATTGTAATTTCTTGTGATTGTGTAACAGACATATTCAGGTCATGATTATGTAACTCCCTCTATCCCATGGTATTGTAATTGTTTCGTGCCATGTATCTCCTTCTGCCTGCATCAACTCCAATTTCTGCTTCTTGATTCCCCACTTCTCTTCCCTTCTCTTGTTAATAGTAATACATGATGCCACAATTTTCCTACTCTTTCTTTTGAAATATGTATGCTTATTAGAATCATAGAATCAAAGAGTTGGAAGAGACCTCATGGGCCATCCAGTCCAACCCCATTCTGCCAAGAAGCAGGAATATTGCATTCAAATCACCCCTGACAGATGACCATCCAGCCTCTGTTTAAAAGCCTCCAAAGAAGGAGCCTCCACCACACTCCAGGGCAGAGAGTTCCACTGCTGAACGGCTCTCACAGTCAGGAAGTTCTTCCTCGTGTTCAGATGGAATCTCCTCTCTTGTAGTTTGAAGCCATTGTTCCACATCCTAGTCTCCAAGGAAGCAGAAAACAAGCTTGCTCCCTCCTCCCTGTGGCTTCCTCTCACATATTTATACATGGCTATCATATCCCCTCTCAGCCTTCTCTTCTTCAGGCTAAACATGCCCAGTTCCTTAAGCCGCTCCTCATAGGGCTTGTTCTGCCATTTTGTTCAATAAAAATTCTTGGCCATCTTAATTTGAAGGTTGAAAATAAATCTGCCAGATCATCTGGGATAAGAAGATACCTGGGATCAGATGCTGGGATATGGTGGGATACAGTGTAGATTCAGTCTGAGTGAGGATTCAAACCCTCCTTCTTTGGGTGCTTTTAAACAGAGGTGTGATGGCCATCTGTCGGGGGTGCTTTGAATGTGATTTTCCTGCTTCTTAGCAGGGGATTGGTCTGGATGGTCCACGAGGTCTCTTCCAACTCTAGGATTCTATGAAATGTCCCCAGTTGTTCTTTTGAAAGGAAAGAAAGGGTTACAGAAAATGGTAAAGTGGGGACTTGGAGACACAGAGAAGCATATAGAGGGCTGCCTGCTGGAACTTTGATTCAATTGCCTTTTATTATTGTATGTAATTACTGTATTGTAGTAGAGTGTTTTATTATTTTTTTGTATTGACAAAGCATAGCATGGCTTCCAAGGTACAAAGTCAGGAAAGACAGCAAATCAACATGGAAGAGGTTCCAAAAGCTGTCCTTTTGCTTTCCCAGATGCAAAAGGTGTCCAAAGGATGCAAACTTCAAGGGCATTTCTCCCTGCAAGACATTGGGGCAAGGCAGTCAATGGCGAAGGTGGAGCACAGCAGTGTGGGAGAAGCCATGAAGAAAGCTCAGAATGAGTGAGAGGCCTCTGAATCAGGGGATGCTATGGACCAAAGTGAAATCCGTGGCTGGGAAGGGAGTCCTTTGAGAGTGGTGAAGGAACTGCCAAGCTGAAAAGCACAGGGACTTCTGTTACGGTAAGTCCTTGCAGGACACAAGTATATGTGTGAAGAAAAACCTTATTGTTTGTAATTATCTTGTTCAGCTGGCTAAGTAGGTCAAGCAGCAATCTTGTGCCACACCCAAGGGGCTATAACTGAGTTGTTTTGAATACAGTGTGGTGGGTGCAGGACTTCTGGTGGGCTGCTGCTGGAGTTCTGTTTCACCAATGTGGAGCACCATCAGGAGAAGCTGATGGTGAAATAGCTATTTACTTCAGGTTGTTTTGATTTCCCATTTGCTGCTTGGAAGATGCTTTATTTTATGCATATTACAAAGACTGTGTAAACATGTTGCACTGCTGTTTTTATGTGCAGTATTGCCAGTTTTGTTTTATCTCTGCAAAGTAAAGAGTAAAGATTTTCTGTTTATCTTGACTATTCGTCTGAGACTATTTTGCGTCTGGGTTTTTGGGTGTTAGGTCGCTGGAATAAAACACGTGCTGCGTAGCAACTTCTTCTGGCCATCATCTTAAAACCAGGTCCCTTTCCATTTTAGCAGAAAATATACTGCCTGAGTGTCTAGTGGAGTTACCTTTGAAACAGAGGCCAGATGACCTTTTGTCAGGCAGAAATTAGCTATGTCTTTCTGCAGGGCGGGCAGTTGGACTGGTGGCCCTTGCAGTCTATTCCAGCCCTAGGAATCTGGCCACAGTGGTTCACGCTCTTGTTACATCCCGAATAGATTACTGCAACGCGCTCTACGTGGGGTTGCCTTTGAAGACTGTTCGGAAACTTCAATTAGTCCAATGGGCGGCAGCTAGATTACTCACCGGAGCATCATACAGGGAGCATACCACCCCTCTGTTGTCAGCTCCACTGGCTGCCGATCCAGTTCCGAGCACAATTCAAAGTGCTGGTTTTGACCTACAAAACCCTTTACAGCTCCGGCCCAGCGTACCTGTCCGAACGTATCTCCTTCTACGTCCCACCTCGGAGTTTAAGATCTGCTGAGGGGGCCCTGCTCTCGGCCCCACCTTTATCACAAGCGAGACTGGTGGGGACGAGGGACAGGGCCTTCTCGGTGGTGGCCCCTCACCTGTGGAATTCACTCCCCGGGGAAATTAGGACATCAACATCCCTCCTCTCCTTCAGGAAGAAGCTAAAAACCTGGATGTGGGACCAAGCGTTCCGGGTAAGCTGGCAGATGGCCAAAGACAACCAATAATGACCAGGGTAGGAAAGGACAATGACAATGCTAAATAGTTTGCGGTCTTGGATTGGTGAACACTGACCACAAAATGTTTATTGCTGCTAGTATACTGTCTGATGGTTTTAATTAGTTATAACTGTGATATTATGTGGTAAATTTGTGTATTGTATAGTGTATTGTATGTTGTAATTGTTAGGCATCGAATTGTGCCTTTTGTAAGCCGCCCTGAGTCCCCCCTAGGGGGTTGAGAAGGGTGGGGTAAAAGCACTCCAAATAAATAAATAAATAAATAAATAGGATGTTATGATTCTGTGATTTCATATTATACACCTTTGGTAAGACCCATTGTGTTTCTTGCTTGACTGTAAATCACCATATAAATAAATAAGTAAATATCTACTTTTGATATCTAAAAGGCACACAATAATTTACACAGCATGACAATAGGCAAGAGTAATTTATTTAACAATCATATGCATCAAATAAGGATGAGTAGTTATAGTCCCCAGAGATTTATGAAACACTCTACTCTGCACTATATAACAATGCATCATTGTTCGCAAGCGGAAGCTCGTCAAGAAGATGAAGAGTTTGGTCTACTTTTCCCAAAGAAACCTGAGGCTCTGAATTTTGTAAAGTTGTTTGGAAGAGACAAACAAAATGAAAGTGTCAGTTATCCAGGGAATCAGCTCCAGGATTCAGCCCACATTTTAAAGACTCTGCCCTAGGTGCTGAAACTACCTGGCTTCTCTGAAGATCCTGCATGTGTTTTAATTTTCAGGCACTTTAACATAAAGCAATAAATAAGCACATGATATATGCTACACTTTACTCTGTGCTATACACCTTTATACAGACCTTCTTGCAAGTGGAAGATCAACACCCTCAACAAGCTCAGAGTTTGGACTCTAGCTACTTTTCCCAATATATATACCAATATAATTTCTTTTCTTTATTTTATCAGGGGCTGTGGCGAAGAACAGCACACACTTTATACGGCTGGGGTGGTGTTGATATTCTTACTATAGGGGTTTGGTTGAGTTTTTTGACTCCTTCTGGCAGCTGGAAGCGGAAGGCCCTCAGCAGGTTGGTCAAGAAGAGGAAGTACTCAGTTCTCGCCAATTGCTCTCCTAGACATACCCTGGCCCCTGAAGAGAAAATAAAGAAAGTGAGTATATATCTACAATGCAGATGCATCCAAAGTTATTTCTCCTGACCTGAGCACACACTCCTCCCCGAAACCTGATGTAAATGTTATTCCCATCCATGCTCCAACTGCCAGCAGACGAAACCCGTTAAAATAGGTGGGATGGGAAGATAGTTGTAATAACAGTGTCTCAGTCATAACCCAGTAGTAAATGTGAATATGAAAGTGTTACTTGCATTTACTCATTTGTAACTAATTTGGATTCACAATCTCTACTTAGTCACAATTTTAACTTCCTCCTCCTTGACTTGCTTTACCAAGCATTGGCTGCATGGGGAGAAGAAGATTTATTCTGTAGGAGATTTGTGTTTCCATGTTGTTTTGGTCAGAGAAAGAGATGTCCCTTAGAATCATAGAATCAAAGAGTTGGAAGAGACCTCATGGGCCATCCAGTCCAACCCCCTGCCAAGAAGCAGGAACATTGCATTCAAATCACCCCTGACTTAATTAAGTTAACTCATAGTTAATGGTAAGATCCATTGTAAGCTCTTTTAATTTTGTTGAAGTATCTGTTTATTGTAGATATTTACTGAATTTTGTTTGAAAAATGACTACTTAACTAACTACTTAAGTAGATATAAATGAATGAATAAATGGTTTATTATACTAGCCATAAGCCATGACATAAAATATACAACCTTTAAAAGTACAATCAGTCCTTTCCAATATGAATAATAAAACTTGTTCCACATAATACTGGCTCTTTAAAATTATAGTAGTAGTGACATGATAACAATTACAAATGTCTAATTTGTATCATCCCAAATGTATTTATTTTATTTGTTTGTTTCTAACATTTCTACCTCGCCATTCTCAACCCCCGCGAGGGGGCTCAGAGCGACTTACACTGGCAACAATTCAATGCCAAATGTACAACATATATAAACTATCTGCATCTCCATTTCTAGCTTCTGCTGTGGACTTTACTAATTTAGCTCGGATTTTTTGGGCCAAGACATAGGATTTTGGGTGTGCTTTCTCAACATTGCTACAAGTTTGGATTTCTAGATTTACCTGCACCGAATGGCAGAAATTCTTCTCTAGCCACAAAATTCCCCTCTTTGTCCAAGAAATGATTCGGATTGAACTCTTCAGGAGTCTCCCATTGCTGAGGATCAAGAAGAACAGAGCGTACATTTGGTATAATAATGGTCCCCTGAAAGAAAAAGAAAATGATTGGTACCCACAGAGACATGTGCACACTTGTTATGGTCCCCTTGGTCAATGAGGAATGAGAATCTATTGGGTACATCACTGTGGAATTAATGCATCCTGGTACGGAGCCATAGTACTGAGCCATAGCAGCTCAAGAGATGTCAAACTGTGTAGATGCACCCATTGTGGTTATTTATATAATCCCAGTTAAGAATATGACACCATGTTCTGATAAATATAAACAATCCAATAATTTTCAACAACATGTCTAGAATTCTGGTTGCTTCCACTTAAAACAGACCCACTGAATCCATAGTTGAATGTGAGTTCAAAACTCAGCCATGTGCAAGTGCAGCCATGACAACATTCTGTACCTTGGGAATGTGAAAGCCTCTCAGGTTCATGTCTTTGGTTGATTGTCTTGGGAACCCAACTAACAAGATATATTTTGAACGTAGGATCTCATGAAACACGGCATTTGTATAAGGCAGTTTCTTTAGGTCTTGATAGCAGATGGAGGAGGAAACCAAAACATCTTCTATCTCCTTGTGGACTTTATCTGGGGAAAATGGTAGAAATGGATGGAAGTTTCATTTTCAATAAATTAGAATCTCGCTTATCCGACCTTCACTTATCCGACATTCCGTCGTATCTGATGCCCCCTTTTCCTCCAGCATTTCCCCTTCAATTAAAGGAGTGCTTCCCAACTCTCTCTCCATTCCCAGTAAGTGAAAAGACAAGACAAGGAGGAGGAAGAGGAGGGAGGAAAGGGGGAAAAGATGCAGGACTGAAAGCGGAAGCTTCCTCCCTCCTTCCTTCGGTGATTTCCACACTTTTCTTCCGCATCGAGGTACTTCCTGCTGGGCCACTTTAGCCCAAGGCCTTGCCTTGCCTTAACCCTTTGAGTCCCTGTTGTTAATATTCTAGGTGTCTAGCACCGTGTTGGACAGGTAGGTGCGCCGATTCCCACTAGGACCATCCGTACTGGTTTATGCCAGAGCCTTTGCAGTTCGATTTTGAGGTCCTGATAACGGCTGAGTTTTTCCTGTTGTTTTTCCTCAATGTGACTGTCACTTGGTATGGCAACATCAATAATCCAAACTTTTTTTCTTTTCCACAATTGTGATGTCTGGTGTATTGTGTTCCAAAACTTTGTCAGTCCCACAGTATTTTTGTGTGTTCATTTTCCACTACCTTTGCAGGTTTATGATCCCACCAGTTCTTTACTACTGGCAGGTGGTACTTGTGACATAAGTTCCAATGAATCATTTGGGCCACAGAGTTGTGCCTCTGTTTGTAGTCTGTCTGTCTGATTTTCTTGCAGCAGCTGAGGATATGATCAATGGTTTCATCAGCTTCCTTGATTATGATGATGATGATGATGATTATTATTATTATTATTATTATTATCAGCATTACAATTCACACAATAAGGTTTTAAAAAGGAGGACTTGCTCCCATTACATATAAATCTCTCTTACCCTGTATATCTGGATAATTTGTCAAAAGGAGAATTGCCCATTTCAATGTAGTGGCAGTTGTTTCTGTTCCAGCAATAAATAAGTCATGAATACACTGAGCCAGGTTTTCCTCATCATATGTAGAGTCAGGATCATTCTTGCTCTGAAAATAAACACAATAAAGGTGAAATTTGAATGTTTAATGAATTAAAGGCATGCTTTCATAGCTTTCATTACTTCGGTAGCCACATATTTTTTTAGCAAAAAAATCTGGATATTTTTAGACTTTGGGATGCTTTGGATTTCAAATTTCCAGATTTAAAAAATGCTCAATCTGTAATGGAATGGATGGGTAGGACTCTCAGATTCTCTCCAGATGAGAAATAATACTCTCTCAAAGTCCCAAGTTTTGTTCCTGCACAAATCGATTTCATTTGACACTTGACATTTTCTGCATCTTGAAGTATTTTTGGGAGTTCCTGGCATTAGCAACAACTTTTCATTCCTACTCACTAGATCATTTTAAATTAATCCATGATATAAGCACTGCTGGTAAATTCTCAATACTTGCAGAAGCTGCTCCCTCTTCTGGATAATCCCAGATACAAAACTTACTTTCTCCATTTGAAGTAGATAGAAATCAATGAAGTCCTGTGGCTCATGGTAGGAGTTGTCCTCCTTGTGTTTCTCTATTTTCGTCTTTGCCAATGAAAGCACCATATTTGAGGCATAAAATGCCTTCCTGTGAAGTCCAGGAAGTTTTTTCATGAGCCATGGCATTACTTCATACAGCTACAGGGAAGACAAAAGTGAAATCCAAGTTGTACGTTCAACCTGTAGTATAAATCTAGAAAGATGTAGTTACACAGGGGTTGCACTGTGCCACCCTTCCATTGAATACCAATGCTGCACAATCAATTGTTTCTCTTGTCAAATGACTACAATCCAGGATTCACAATGATGTTTCCCTAGTCAAAGTGAATGCAATGGTACATTGAGTGCACCAAGAAGTATTTTTCCACCTTCCATGAATGCACAATTGCATGACTTGGATTCTTTTGATCAGATCCGGTCTGAGTCCCTCAAGAGAGGTGAGAAGGTCGGTATACAAAACTTTTTAATAAATAAATAAATAATAAATCCATTTAATCAATCGAGTGGTGAATTGGCACATAGGCAAAAGTAGTTGAGTCAGTGGCACTACATCAGGCATGGGCAAAGTTTGGCCCTCCGAGTGTTTTGAACTTCAACTGATGTCCAAAACACCTGAAGGACCAAAGTTTGTCCATGCCTTCTTAACACTGATCTAAACTAACAATAGCAGGAGGCCCATGTGAAATGGTTATGCTTATGGGACTTTGCTGTGCAATCAGCACCAACCAGGGAACAAATGTATTCTTTGCTTATTTCACTGGCCAAAAAAGTACAACCAGATGTTGAAGATAAGTTACATGTATTATACCAATGCAGTTCCAGTCACTGCAGTGAAAAAAATAGAATCACTGCTTCTTTTTTTAAATAACTAAAGATGTAACTGATGATCAGGAAAACAATAACTCTACATTTCAAGGATCCCTCTCCTAAGAAGGAACTGGTTTTTAGGGAAGGTTGGAAGACAGACACATTCATATAGTTTATATCAGACCTAAACAACTTGGCAGTTAGTAATGACCAAAATGAACAACTAACTTCATAGCATTGTGAAGAATTGTTTAGGCCGTGAGATAAGACCCTATGACTCCAGATGAATTTAAACCTAATTTGTTTTTTCAGAATCTTTATAGATTAGAGCCTATTAAGTTCTAATAGAAACACATTGAAAAACACACCTCAATAATCCTAACATTCCAGACAGGCCTTTAACCTGCGGCCTGCCTCGGTTTTACCTGAGATGTCCAAATTATGCCTCAAGTAAAACTGAATTAATCCAGACAAAACTGAGATATCTCAGTTTTCTCCAGATTAATTAAACACCTGAAAATATCTGGATGTTAAGCTAAGGTCCATATCTTTGTAGGTGAGGGCCCTGTGTGGATTGAATCTTGTGACTGCTTCCACAGTCCCAGAGGACAATCCCCACAGCAATCCCAGTTCTTTGGGTGCCCAAAGGAGTGGGATGGCACCCACCTCCTCCCCTCCCAGTCACCCATCTCCCACTCCACCCCCCAAAAAATACTTACCTAGGGGCCTACCAGCAGCACAGGACCCTCAAGAGACCTCTCCTGATGTGCAAAAATGACATGTTAGGAGATGGGGGGTTGACCTGGGATTACTTGTAGCCACCCCCAAAGGGAAAGCCTGGGGTTTGGGTTGGGGACTAAATCCTGGATCTAAATCCCAGTAGGAACCGGGATTTAATATCCCAGTTTCTCCCAGGATTTAGCTATGTCTGGAAGGACCCTAATTTAGTGGATAAGAAAAAGTTCACTTACTGCTTGAGAGAAGCTTCCTGTGGCTGTTAAAACAAAATCAATGGCTGTGATTAATTTCTTGAAGTGTTCGTCTTCAAGAGAAAACCGTTGTCCAAATGTCACAGCACATATCACATTGGAGACGGAATTTGTGATGGCCATTGAAGGATCAAATGGTTGCCCTGTAAAAAAAAAGTTATGTTAATCTGAATTCAACACCTTGTGCAAATAGTGGGAGTTGTTCTTTCTTTGGGTGAAGATAAATTGTTGACAAATTATTGCATTACAAATTAATTGAAATATGCTCAATTCCTCTCCAGAACAGGCCATACAATAATTTCTATAGGCTGAGACAAGTGGCCAAACCAGCATCTAATATAAGTCCTCTAGGTGGGGGGTTAGGGGTTCAAACCATCCCCAAAATTAATCTAATCCAAGACCTGCCAAAGAAATCATGGAAGAGGAACAAAGATAAGAAGCTGTGTCAGTGTTAGACTTTGGACTTTATATGAACAAGGCTGCTTCCAATGACCAAGTGAAAGCTCAATTAGTGCAAAATTCACAGAATCAATTGCCAGGATATGTATTTCCTGTGAATAAGAAGAGGCACCTAAGTTTTCAACCCAAATGGTTTAGCAGATTTCCCTGGTTAGCCTGCTCATTTCATCTACAAGTTGTACTCTGTAAATACTGTGAGGTGTTTAGAGTTGCAGGTAAAGGTGGTCATCAGAAGCTTGTGCATTGGTTGCTAAACCATCTGCGTGATGAGAAAATGCAATACAAGTCTTCAGTGGACACCAGAAACAGAGTACTATCAGAACAACTTGTGCTTGGCTGAAAATTTCTTGCTAATTCACAATGGAAAATGTCTTGATGATAAAGGAAATAAGAAATCAGCAGAAGAAAACAGAAAGAAACTTCTGCCAATTGTGGAAACTATTGTCCTTAGTGACTGAGAAAAACTGGCTTCAAGAGGAAAATGATTCAGGACCTATTAATAAAACTAATAAATTAAACTTTATTTATACCCTGCCTCCATCTCCCCAAGGGGACTCGGGGTAGCTAACACGAGGCCAAGCCCAACAGTTGCAATAAAGCAAAAGAATACAACATAAAATCATAAATTGATAAAACAAATAGAATACAAAAAATGAAATAAAATAATATAAAATAAACACAAGCTAAAAACGTAAATAACAAAATAATAACCAAGTGGGCAGGGCCAAATATAACGAATAGGATTTTTAAAACCCAGGGTGAGATGGATGAGTTGGGTGATATATCTGGTGGGTGGTTCGGATGGGAAAAACAATGGGATTTAATTCACTGAAGGGTGAGATAAAGTGCATCGAAAGACATTATGTGCTTTATTACCTGTAAAGAACCTTTGCACAATGATACTAATTTCAGGGCCAGGTCTCATGCCAGATCAGGAGACATTGACCTGAAATGTCATCTCAAAGATGCAGGTATGAATGCCCAGTATACTAGTCCTCAAATACAAAATGAAGTAATAGACATTTGTGGTGATCAGATAGTCCAAAAATTGTAGAAAGATGAAATGCATCACAGTGTTTCTCTGTTTTGGCACATGAAACTTTGGATGTGAGTACTTCAGAACAGTTATTGCTCTCAGTAAGGTATGTTGATGTCGAAGTTGCAGAAATAAGAGGAGACTTTATAGGCTTTCTGAACATAAGTGATGTGACAGGTGGAATACTTGCAGAGATTATTTTGAAAACACTGGAAAAATTGGGCTAAACTTGCAATACTTGTGTGGACAGGGTTATGATGGTTATGATGGAGCTGCTAATATGAGTGGTCATATTAATGGAACACATACAATGATATTGCATTAGTATCCAATGGCTGTCTGCATCCACTCCAGCACTCACTCACTAGATCTAGCTTTAGCAAAGACTTGAAGCATTCCACCTGTCAGAAACTGCCAAGGAACAATATCATCTGTGTGCAATTTCTTCAGAGCATCATCCATCAAAACAGAACTGTTGAAGAAAAATATAAGGCTCTTCTCCTGAATCAAGAGTAAACAACTTGTTGCCGCTTTGAGAAACCCATTAGGTTGAGAAACGTGATACAATTTTACATTTTGTTGAACTGTACAATGTGGTGGTGAAAACACTTGAAGAACTAAAAGAGTCTTCTACACAACAGTGAGAATTCTTCCAAAGCTGGACACCTTCTTTGAGCTGTTCTGAACGCTGAATTTGTAATAACGTGAAAAAACTTTTGTCACATCTCTTCAGCTTAGCAAAACATCAGCAACATGTCAACAGTTTCTTAGAAAAGATGTCCATAGAATCTGTGAATTGCAGAATTGTAAAAGCAACATGCAAGCAACTTCACCAACACCAATGGAATATTATAGGCTAAATGTGTTCATCCCATTTCTTGATTTTTTTTTCTGCAGTCAGCTTCAAGAAAGGTTTACAAGGCACAGAGGAGTTTTTCAGGAGCTGCAAGTGTTCCTCCCTATTAATTGTAGCCATTTAAAATCCAACTCGAACAAGTGCACAGAACTTTACAATGAGTGTGTTCAAGATATGGACACACTGATGGGAAGAATTTGACCTGTGGTGTAGAAAATGGAAAAAGGTTATACATGCAGAAAAGCTGGACTTGCATTCTTGAGAGTCCATCAAAGTTTATCCATGGAGCCTGATTTCTGCCAAAGTGTATTAACACAGTTTTCAAGTGTTTCCAACAGACATTGAAGTAGTCTTATGTAACCACAAAATTACCATTTAAGTGTCATTTTTAGGTTTTTTAAGACTTGCACTTTTGCAACTAAACAGAAATTTGATTTAAGTCTATATAAAAATATAGAATGAATCATATAATTTAAATTATTTTGTGTTATGGATCTATACTTCATGATTCACTAAAAAAAATGTTTCAAACCCTCCTGAATTTTTTTTTCTGGTTACAGGCCTGCCTAATACTACATACCTTTTTCACGTGCAAATATCTCTACAAGCTGCTGGGCTTCTGCTTCTATTTGGCTTTCCATGCCTTTTTTCCCCAATCCCAGTTTCCGCAGCGAATGTAGCCCAAACCGTCTCTGCTGCTTCCATGTGTGACCGTTTGAAAGTGCAACACCTGCAGGCATCCAAATGTAATTATTAGGTACAAAATGCATGCCAAAATAATTAAGTTGCTAGTCAAAACAAGGCAACCTTTACTACAGAATATGCAAATATATCCATACATTGGATATGCTTTTAATATCAACTGCGTCCTTTGCTGACTTGAAACAGAACCAGTCTTTGCTTATTACAATGGTGAGACACAGAGAGGTGTCACTGTAAGAAAAAGCTGGCAAGTACATTACAGTTGGTATTTCCAGGGCTCCCATTCTTAGTGTTAAAAGGGTTGAAGTAAAGGAGCTAAAAGCACGGTAGCAGAACCACATTCTGAGAGGCTGAAGTACACTTATGGTGGTGTTATGTTCCAGGATCACCCGCAAAAAGTGAAAATCCGTGAAGTAGGGATGCTGTAGATGTATATCGAGTTCCAAGGGTGAGACAGAAGCAAGGAGAGATTTAAAGGCACTGTGCTGTCGCACGCTGGGCCTGTGCATAAGACTGTAGACAGGACATAAATTCTGTGTGCCCAACGGGATGCCGGGGCTGCCTCAGATTAAAGGCCCTTGGATTCCCCCAAACAGAGTCTTTAGATTGCTTAAAGGTTCAACAATGTTCTTTATTAATGAAAACAAACAGGTACTTTCAAGCTTTTTTAACAGTCTATTGGCTCTCTCTCAATCTTGTCCACAGGGAACAGGCACTATCTTCATAACTGTATACTAACTAATGGGAAATCCTTAACTTCTAATCTGGGCAGTCTGTCTTTGCCTCTGTTGGCGTGGAGCCCCTGCACCCGGTACCAACTGTGTCTGGCTTCCGCGAGTGACCCTTACCAAGCAGAGCTTTGTAGACTTCCAGAGGAAAAGAAGGAGTTCAGGTTTCAGTGATGGCTGGCTGAAGTCCTTCAGCAAAGGAGCTGTAAGGCTGTAAAATCCTCAGCCAAGCTGTGGGGCCTTTTCTCCCCGGCCAAGCTGTAGAAGACGAAGCTTTCTACAGGAGCTCTTGGTATTATGTCCTGTGCAAAAGGCTTCTCTGTGTGGACTGACTAAAAAGGCTCCTATTCCCTCCAAAAACCCAAAAAGGGGGCGGGACCAGGGAACCTAACTATAATTGACAGGTGGCTTGCCCTATGATTGCAGCCAAAAGAAGCCACCTATCTGCAGAGTCCCTGAAACTTAGGACTATAACAAACATTAAATGCAAACAAACAAAACTGGAGCTCCTGGTGCAGTTGTACCTGCACAGGCACCGCAACCCCTTTTTTGGTTGGTTTTAAAAAAGTGGCCATAAGGCCATGATTTACATACTGTTTTGTATCTCCTCTCTCTTTTATATGATTGGCTGCCTCTCTCCCAAGGGGGAGGGTGAAACCCCCTTCCACACACCATTGTTGCAGGAGGCAAAAAGCCGTAAAACAGTGTGTCCGCGAAATGCAAAGCAGTGAGGGAACACTGTATAGGAGAGATTTAAAAGCACCATGCACTTTTTTTTGCTAGCTATGTCTGCTTTGCAATCTCTCTTGATTGACTGCCTCTCTCCCGAGGGGGAGGGCGAAACCCCCTTCCACACTCCAACGTTGCCAGGGGGCAGGATTAGAATGCTGCTCTGGGCAATGGCAACCATTCATAAACTGGGAGGCAAAACCTGATGAAAAAAACGAGTCCGCAAAAAGCGATCCAACACTGTAATCATTCCTCCTTAACTATTTTCCCTAAAGAAAGGTCTAGTGTTAGCCTCTTCATAACTTACCTTTTCCTCGTCCTATTACTCTAAAGAAAGGAGTCAGTGGCCTGTCAGATAATTCTTCCAAGTGATTGACCAGTCCTTCTTTGACAACATGGAATCCAGACAGTACCACCACAGGTAAATTTGCCACCCATAGGGTATAAATGCTTCCGTATTGTTTTGCCAGCTGCCATTGGGAGCAAAATATCAGAAAGAAATGTTTCACTAGATGAATCAAGCTATTTTAGAGGCCATGAATAATCAAAAACATACAAGGCCGTGAATAATAATAATAAAAATCATTAGAAATTCTCAGTACATTTTGAACGCTTTTTAGATCACTGAGAATTTTTTTTCCAAAATGGATCTAGGGGGCATTTTTCTTTCTTTCTTTCTTTAGTCCCCACCCTTGTTATGATTAAGGCCCCTTCTGCATAACTATATAAAATCCAGATTATCTGCTTTGAACTGAACTATAAGGCAGTGTAGACTCATATAATCCAGTTCATGGCAGATAATGTGGATTATCTGCCTTGATATTGTGGATTTTATGGCAGTACAAAAGGGTCCTAAAACAGCTATATTTTTAACATTAACTGATCTTGGAGTAGAAGGTAAAATAATTGTCCGTATCGAACTAGAGAAGTGTTTCTCAACCTTCCTCATTCCATGACCCCTTAGTACAGTTCCTCATGTTGTGGTGACCCCCAACCATAAAATTATTTTTGTTGCTACTTCACAACTGTAATTTTGCTACTGTTATTAATTGTAACGTAAATATCTCATATGCAGGATGTGTTTTCATTCACTGGACCAAACTGGGCACAAATACCTGATACGCCCAAATTTGAACATTGGTGGGATTGGGGAGGATTGATTTTGTCATTAGGGAGTTGTAATTGCTGGGATTTATAGTTCACCTACAATCAAAGAGCATCTTGAACTCCACCAATGATGGAATTGAACCAGACTTGGCATACATATCTCTCATGACCAACAGAAAATACTGGAAGGGTTTGGTGGGCATTGACCTTGAGTTTGGGAGTTGTATTTACGTTGCAGTAATCTATTTGGGATTTTTTTTTGTCGTGTCAGGAGCAACCGCTCCTATTGTGAGAGAATTGGCCGTCTGCAAGGACGTTGCCCAGGGGACGCCCTGGATTATTTGATGTTTTCATCATCCTTGTGGGAGGCTTCTCTCATGTCCCCGCATGAGGAGCTGGAGCTGATAGAGGGAGCTCATCCGCCTCTCCCCGGATTCAAACCTGCGACCTGTCGGTCTTTAGTCCTGCTGGCACAGGGGTTTAACCCACTGCGCCACCGGAGGCTCCAACTCAAACAATGATGCATCTGGACCAAACTTGGCACAAATACTCAATATGCCCAAATGTGAACACTGGTGGAGTTTGGGGAAAATAGACCTTGACATTTGGGAGTTGTAGTTGCTGGGATTTATAGTTCACCTACAATCAAAGAGCATTCTGAACCCACCAATGATAGAATTGGGCCAAACTTCCCACACAGAACCCCCATGACCAACAGAAAATACTGTGTTTTCTGATGGTCTTTGGCGACCCCTTTGACACCCCCTCACGACCCCCCCCCGGGGTCCCGACCCCCAAGTTGAGAAACACTGAACTAGAGGGTCATTCAAAGTTGTTATTTTTTCACATACAGCACATTTGCACTCAGACATCTCAAAGAGATAAGAAGATGCCATTAAATATCTTACACAGCTTAATGTGCTAGTGGTGAATTCTTGAGAAAGAAGTACCTTTATCAGAGTATCTTCACGATATCCAAACCCAATTCGCCATAGGCCTCCAATGAAAGGAAGTGAAAGAGGTCCAGGGGGGTACGTTCGGAGTGATCGCTGTTGTCTCCAAAAGTAGAGGATCAGGAGAACCACAAGGAAAGCAATCAAAAATACCCGCACTCCCTCCATTCTCCAGACTTCTCTTTTATTCTTTCCAACCTGCGATGGGAGAGGTTGAAAGGAGGAGGTCAGATGCTCTTCCGCCAATTTCTGCGTGTGAGAGAGCTTTAAAATAATAAACTTGTTTTAACTCATTACATTGTTTAACATGCTTTATCTTATTTAGATTGCCTCACTATTAAAAAGCAATTTGTAAGCCACAGTGAAACATAGGGTGAGGTTTAGAAGGAGGAAAATGAGCCAGAGGAAGGAGGAAAAAATGTTGTTGTCATCTTACATAGCTTACATAAGCAATTGGGTTGTTGTTTTTTCTGTGATTGTATAACAGACATATGCAGTTCAAGATCATGCAAATTCCTCTTCACATGATATTGTGATTGCCTTCTGCCCTCTATACTAGAACTCCAACAAGAACCCCTCTATTCTGCTTTGGTTAGACCACATCTGGAATATTGTGTCCAATTCTGGGCACCACAATTCAAGAGAAATATTGACAAGCTGGAATGTGTCCAGAGGAGGGCGACTAAAATGATCAAGGGTCTGGAGAACAAGCCCTATGAGGAGCGGCTTAAGGAGCTGGGCATGTTTAGCCTGAAGAGAAGGCTGAGAGGAGATATGATAGCCATGTATAAATATGTGAGAGGAAGCCACAGGGAGGAGGGAGCAAGCTTGTTTTCTGCTTCCTTGGAGACTACGACGCGGAACAATGGCTTCAAACTACAAGAGAGGAGATTCCATCTGAACATGAGGAATAACTTCCTGACTGTGAGAGCCGTTCAGCAGTGGAACTCTCTGCCCCGGAGTGTGGTGGAGGCTCCTTCTTTGGAAGCTTTTAAACAGAGGCTGGATGGCCATCTGTCAGGGGTGATTTGAATGCAATATTCCTGCTTCTTGGCAGGGGGTTGGACTGGATGGCCCATGAGGTCTCTTCCAACTCTATGATTCTATGATTCTATGATTCTAAGGTCTCGATCCTGCAAAGAATAGAGTCATAATGCTGCAAAGAGCTAGAAACTTCACTGGAGTTAGAGGCAGCCAGCAGCAAAGTTTAATATATTTCTAAATATTTTCTATAGTTGTTTTGTTTATTTTAAATTGTTTTAAATGTTACGGTCTATTTAAACTATGGAATGTTTAGGCTTTATGTATCTGTTTCTATTTAATTTGTTGCATGTAGATTTTGAGTTCCGTTTTTTTGGGGAAATGGTCTGAATCTACATAGTGTTTATTTTAGATGAGAAGGTACAAAGAAAAAAAATAGAGACAACACTGTTAATATAAAGACTAGCAACAATACAGGCAAGGGGCAACAAAAGGAATTGCAACATGAATATGAAAAGTGATGGTGACAATGCGTGTCAGTGTTGCTTATAACTACATAAAAGGAGCGAAAGGTTGCAGACCAAGAGCTATTTCACTTTTACTGCTATTCAAACTGGCACTTTAAGGCTTATATATTAACTAACTGTAACCTGCCACACATTGCTGTTGCCCTGTCTGGTTATCTGGAAAATAAAGTAATGAGAAAGTGTTGGTTCCTAATATATGTAATTTATTTATGCTTGTGGGTAAACAGTATTTCTTCTTGTTTCTTTGTCATTGTTGATGTGGTTTGCCTACTCTGGAACATGCAACATATCGTTGTCCTTCTTTAGGGGTCCCTTTCAGATCTCTGATACTATATCTCTGTGTGTATGTGAATCATATCTATCTATCTATATCTATGGCTGGATGGCTCTTTGTCAGGAGGGCTCTGATTACATTTTCTTGCCCTGGTGAAGGGAGTTGGACTGAATGGCCTTAAGGCAGCATTTCTGTTGGTCATGGGAGTTCTCTGTGGGAAGTTTGGCCCAATTCTATCGTTGGTGTGGTTCAAAATGCTCTTTGATTGTAGGTGAACTATATATCCCAGTAACTACAACTCCCAAATGTCAAGGTCTATTTCCCCCAAACTCCATCTGTATTCATATTTGGACATATGGAATATTTGTGCTAAGTTTGGCCCAGATCCATCATTGTTTGAGTTCACAGTGCTCTCTGGATGTAGGTGAACTACAACTCCCAAACTCAAGGTCAATGCCCACCAAACCCTTCTAGTGTTTTCTGTTGGTCATGGGAGTCCTGTGTGCCAAGTTTGGTTCAATCCCATTGTTGGTGGAGCTCAGAATGCTCTTTGATTGTAGGTGAACCATAAATCCCAGCACCTACAATTCCCAAATAACAAAATCATGATTTTTTGAGTGATGGTCACTCCTTGTGTTGTGAGACATTTTGTTGTCAAATTTGATGTGATTTCGTTCATTGGTTCTTTTATTTTTAAGGTACTCATTATGCACAGAGCATTTATATATAGAGAGATATAATATATTATAGTATTAATATAGTACCTAATGTTGTGCTATGATGATAATATAATACATTGCATACACATATAATATTGATAATAATGTTATAATGTAATACAATATGATACTAATAATAATACAATATAAGAATTATATATTTTATATTGCATGTAATATTACTAATAATATTACAGTAGGGTGGTATAGTACAATATAGTAATATATAATACTGATATTGTGCTGTGCTAACAATATATTATATACACATATAATATTTATAATAATATTACAAAGTAATACAATATAATACTAATAATAATACAATATTATAATATATTTCATATTACATGTAATATTACTAATAATATTACAGTATAGTGATATAGTACAATAAATTAATATATAATACTGATATTGTGCTGTGCTAACAATATAATATATTGTTTACACATGTAATATTGATAATATTATAATATAATTCAATATAATAATAATAATAATAATATTACATGTAATATTACTAGTAATACTACAGTATAGTGGTATAGTACAATATGGGAATGTATGGTACTAATATTGTGCTATGCTAATAATATAATATATTGTATTTACATACAACTTGTAAGCCTTTGGGGTGAGAAGGGCAGCATATAAATGTCGTAAATACATAAATAAATAAAAGAAGAGGATTTTCTTTCATAGTTAAGGTTTCAAAAAACATATATCCTTTGTATGTTACTGGCTCTTTATATTCAAGACTGGATATGGGAAAATGAAGCCCAGCAGTTCAGATATATTGTTAATGGGATGTTTTACTATGCTGCTTTATATTGTTGATTTTGTAATTTCATATTTTGTTAGGATGTATATTTATTGTGTGTACATTATATTTTGGGCTTGGCCTCATGTTAGCCACCCTGAGTCTCCTTTGGGTGAGATGGTGGCGGGTTATAAATAAAGTGTATTATTATTATTATTATTATTATTATTGTTATTATTATTTATCTAATCAAGAAGATACTGAATCCAGCACTAATGTAAACCAGTTTGAATGAATCATGCCCTTTTCCAAGAAAGTAGGGAGTAGCTAAACTTACCAGTGATCTTCTGTCCCTCATTCATGCTGTTTAAGTCAGTATTCATATTGATATTAATACTAATGGTACTATTGATGCTAGCTATTAGGGCTGGGCGGTTTCGTTTCGTTAATTCGTAATTCGTTAATAATTCGTTAATTTTTTCAATTACAAAACGATAACGAACCATTCTGGAGCAATTATTAAAAAAACGAATTTTCAAAAACGTTTTGTAAATGCTTCGTATTTCGATATTGTATTCGTTTCGTTATTGTTTTGAGGTCGTTTCGTTATTATTTCCGCATGTCTGGGTCAGTTTTATGGTTTAATTAGTGAAAAAAAATATAATATCACACCAACAGTCAACAACAGAGGGAGAGGGAAGCTTCAGAAGGTTTTGGAGGTTTTTTAGCGTATTTCGCGGTCGCGTCCGCCATTAACGAATCGATTCGTTATTGTTTCGGAAATCGTTTCGTTAATTTTTTACCATTTACGAAATTTCGTAAATATCGAACTTTTTAAAAGGAAAATTTTGTAATTATTTTAAATATCGAAACAAAAAAACCCCCCAAATACAAATCGATTTTAGAAACAAATTTTTCCGTTGTTACCCAGGCCTACTAGCTATACTAAGCAAATATAGCTGATTGACATCAATTTAATTGTCTCAAATTTGTAGGTTGGTGTGGTACTTAAAATTCCTTGTTTTACAGCCCTAGAGCACTCTACCAGAGGATTCCAAGTATGTCACCAAACTATAAATCCCGATTTCCATATAACAGAGCCATGAAAGTTAAATAATTATCAACTTGCTGTAATTATGTAGCATGAATACAACCAACCAAAACCATATATCCTCCTATGCTTTTAAAAGTTTTTATTGCTTTGATTCCTCTAATTCTGTAGCATGGATACTCCCACCAGGTCCCCAAGTCTTTTTTTTCCCTTTCATGTATTTGCAGGCAGTTAGGTTTTGTTAGAAGTGTGTTTCTTTTGTTTTGTTTTTTAGGTGCTTGTGGGCAGAAAGATATTTACTTACTTAATTACTTACTTACTCAGCATCACCATTCCAGGGCAAAGTTAAAACACGAATTTTTATTAACGCCTCTGCAATGGAATACTTTTGTCTGGTATGCACACCAAACGGTTTTAATTGTTTGAAATTGTAATATACAGCTCAATCTGTTTCAGACTGTAGTTCATGTTTATAGCTTCTCTCAATGCACGACGTGTCTACACAGTGGATGTAATGCAATAGGAGATACAAACCATTTACATCGGCAGCCCCTCAAGTAAGATAAAGAACAGCGATAACTTTTGGATTACAAAATTACACTGTGGCACCAAGTTTTTTATCCCTTTTAAAAACAAGAAAGAGAATGTATTGTCTAAGGCTTTCATGGCTGGAATCACTAGGTTCTTGTGGGTTTTTCCGGGCTATATGGCCATGTTCTAGAGGCATTTTCTTCTGACGTTTCGCCTGCATCTATGGCAAGCATCCTCAGAGGTAGTGAGGTCTGTTGGAAGTTAGGAAAATGGGTTTATATATCTGTGGAATGGCTGGGGTGGGGCAAGGAGCTCTTCTCTGCTGGAGCTAGGTGTGAATGTTTCAACTGACCAACTTCATTAGCATTTGAAGGCCTGGCTGAGCCTGGGAAAATCTCTTGCTGGGAGGTGTTAAGATGTGCCTGGTTGTTTCCTCTCTACACAGAATCATAGAAACATAGCAGAGCACCTGATGAGCCAACCTGGACACAGCATATTATTTGAGACA